TTTCTTTTTTTTTTTTTTTTTTTGGTACCTGGTATTAAACTCGGGTCCCTTTGCTTACGAGGCAGGCGGCAGAATCACTGAGCTAAATCCCCAGTCCTTTATCTCCTTTTTAATACATTTTTTACAAATGCACTGGACTCAGTTTATTTACCTGATACTCATTAAAGAATCCCTACATCAAACCTCCTGACAGGTGTCCGGTTCTGTGTGACAGGCGAAAGGGGACAATTACATTCAGTAAATGCATGGTCACCAGGGACCGCCCAGTGACCAGGAAGGGCTGGTGACAAGCAGAGCCCTTTAATTCTGCACAGACTCCAGTTGTGGCTGCAGACAAGCAAGAGTAAAATACTTCAGAAATAACGTACTATCTTCCTTCATTGAGTGAATTTGTTTGTAGCATAAGTATGGGGCATCTCGTCTTTCAGATGCTAACAATATTGATCTACAATAGATGTGAAAAAATACCCATGATAGATTGGTACATGGCCAAAAAGAAAGATGGAAGAATAGTACACAGCACGACAGACAGAATCACGATCCTTAACTAAGTGGAGAAAATATCTTGAAAGCTAGACAAGAAATTTTGAAAGTGACTAAAGTTGGGAAAAGGAAACAATGTCTTTTACTTTTTGCTGTTTCCTCTCCATGTTCCTGGAACACTTCTAATTGTAAAGAGGCATTCCGACGTGAAGGGCTTCAGTATCTTTGCCATTTTTACAGGAAGCTGCAGCTCTAAGATGCGCTGCTCCCTGGCTCCCCTTCTGGAGAAGCAGAGCCAGCAGCCGCTGCTGTTGTCTGCAGGACTGGTGTTCCCGTAAACCGAGAAGGAAGAGGGCAAAGCCTGCAAAATGGAGTCCTAGCAAGGGGGCCATTCACAGCAGAGGACAGTGCACCCCCAGGGCCGGGTCCCATAGCTTCCCTGGGGGCTGGGAGGGAGGGCACCCACACAAAGGCCAGCCGGGTGCCTTGGGACAAGGAAGGGGCAGGGGCAAGAGAGAGGCAACGTCCCCAAGGGGTCAGTTCTGATGTCTGCAGCGAGTGGTGGCCCACAAGTGAGCCTCCTGCTCCTCCTCGTGTCCTCCATTCTGTCTCCTGCTCCTGGGTGCTCCCTGGACTTCCCCAGCAGTGCTCCCTGCTCCTGTTCCCTGACTCCCCATCCTCTGAATAGAAGCACAGGATTCAGCAGTGACACTTGCTTCTGTCCCCAGCTGCCATGGACTCTTAGCTGGTGGAAATCAGACATGGGCTGGTTCTCTAGGCTGCTGACAAGCATTACAGTTCCCATCTCTTTTCCAGCACCTTCCAGAGGGCTTCCAAGATGAGCAGGGTGGTCCTTGCTCGATTTGGACATGAATCACCACGAATGGTTGAAGTGCAGCTCCTTTGCTGTTAGCATCTCAGCTTTGAATGCAAGTGGCTCTCAGCCCTTAGTGCTGCAGCGCAGGCTTTGACTGCCAGGACCCAGCTCTTTGTGTTCCAGCTCATGGCGGCTCCCCCTACCCATCAGCTCTTTAGCACTGGGGCCGGTAGCCCCTTGGCAGCTTTCAGCAGCTTCTGGTGCCTCTGTGTGGCTTTCCCATGGTCACTGGAGGTCTCCACAAGTCTCCAGGGATCTCTGCAGGTCTCTGAAGGGCTCTACAGGTCTTCACCCCTCCTGGCTTGCCCCTGCTCACCGGAGACCCCTCCTGGATCTCCCAAGGAGTGCCAGGGACACTGTCGGGAGAGTGGGCATGTGCGTAGTTTCCTGCATTTGCAGACCAAACTTGGGGCACGTTGAGAATGGGGAGGAGATGTCACGCCATCTGGGGTTCTAGGACTGAGTCACCTGCAGTGGCCACAGGACAGTCACGTGGGACAGGTCTGTGATTCAAGTCCGCTGTGCCAAGGCAAGTGTTTCCCATGTGGCTGTGCGGGTCTCGAACATGTTGCCTATGTCCATGGTGACAGCGGCTGAACTTGGGAGATACTGGCTCCTCCAATGCCAGCTCCAGTGGCTGGACAGGAAGCCGGGGTGCAGGCCCAGAGCCGGGTCAGTCTTAGAGAACTCACTACCACAGAGGCTGACCGGGTCCCTCTGAGCACCTTCATCTCTTCTGAGGGCAGCACCCCAGGGATGCTTCAGAGATGCCAGAAC